TTATTTATTCTTGGTTCTGTTTGCTACAAAGAGCTTAGAGTACGCCGAGAATTCACTTGTGAAGTTCTTAATAAAATTGTTATTCGGCAGTACTACAGTGCCTAAGCTTAAATGTGCCTGATAGGATACTTCAGAAGGCTCCATAGTAATTACTTCACGTGCCCACAGCTAGAACCAACCTTCTGAAAGGTCACATATTCGATGTATAACTTTAGTTAACGAATTACATAGGTTAACGGACCGTTTTTATTGTCCGTAGAGGGAACTGTGTAACGTTCTATTATTATTATGTAATTTTTTTTCGTTATTATTATTATTAGTATTTCTTGTTTGTTTTTTGTTTCGTGTGTTTTTTTGTAATTGTTGTGCATTCTTGTCGATTTAGAGTCGTGTGTTTTTTATAAATAAATATGATTGTTTATTTAAATAGAGGCATGAATAATTATGTCCTGCGGTCAAAATATGAAACGAAATTCAAGATGGCACCTGACGTCTTATTGACATCTTTCAACAGAATGTCTAGTCTAATCTTAGACACGCATCTTTTCGTTTGACTATCAAACTAAACAAGCCAGCTTTTCATCTATGTTTTTATATTTTACTGCCAGGTGTGGTGAGAGATTAAAACGATACCGTTTTGTTGGCGCAAACGGATATAATATATACGTAGCGTTTCCCGTATCTGGGGGCTTAGTCAATATGCCGTAACAGTAGTGTATGTAGAAAGTCGAAAACTAAATTTGTTTGAAAATTTGTCGGCACGAAATGTCACTAAGCCCCCTGGGCGTTTTGAACTAGACATTTTATTGACCAATCAGAATCGGACAGAACACAATTTCTCAAATAATGCATACAATAATCGTAGCAAACAATTATTCTAGAAATAATTGCGAGTTTTTTTATTTATTCGGGATATGTTTTTAATTGCTAGTTGTTGCTTACATAAAGCCTTTTCAATGTTGTTCGGTTCGGTGTTGCACGACAGCACTTATATTCTCTGAAATTCCACCTCACCTTGTTTGTACGAGCTGCTACATAATGCAAATAGGCCCATCAAATTCTATAAAGAGATGTCTGTATAGCATACGTAACAACGCCAAAAATTTCACCTCCCTTATAAAACAAAAGCTGAGAGATTTTCCTTAGCGCTTAAAGGATTTGTTTCTAAGAATCTTCCTATTGAACGTACAAGTTTTAAATGTATTGTTATATTCTCATCATTCTTGAAATGTTTTTTTTTATATAGAACAGGAAAACGGGCAGGAGGCTCATCTGATGTTAAGTGATATCGCCGCCCATGGACACTTTCAATGCTTGAATGCTCGCGAGTGCGTTGCTGGCCTTTTAAGAATTGGTACTCTATTTTCTTGAAGGACCCTAAGTCGGATTGGTTATGAGGTTTATATAATGTTATATCAAAGAAATTATGAGGAATTCTTGGCGTGGCTTTTTATCAATTAATTATTGGGCATTAGGTTTGCAAATCACATTTTTGATTATGCAATACATGACATAGATAGCGAAGGTTTCGAAAACTGATTTGGGGTGATTGATAAATAAATGTAAAACAAAAATAAAACTGAAATTTCTTGACTAAATAAGTACATAAGCCTATGTACGTTTATAATTAAGACCGATTTATGCTGTTAATGAATAATATTTTACCAAGAACTGGATATGGCGTAGTCATGGCACAGACTACATAGTTGGCAGAAAACGAGTGTCCCCACTCCTAACCCTCAATAAAGCTACGGAGCCCGAAGGTTATAAACGAATACGGTCAAATAGACAACAAGTACAGAGTTTGTCAAAAAGTATTGCGTTGATCAAACAGCTTAGCCACAGGTTGGTGTAACAATCACAGAAAACATTTGTAACAATATCTTGTATTCCGAGTAGGTCACTTGTGAAAATTATCACAAGGTATAAATATTTGAAGCTTTAAGAAGTTGGTTTGTTGTAAGTTTCTAACATTGCTAATTGTTTTTTTTTTGTATCTTAATATATTTTAAGTTACTGAAACAACGAGAATTAAGAAATCTTCGACATGTTAAGTTAATGTAAGATATTCTTAGCACGTTTAAAGCTGATGTTGAATTTTGTTCAGAGTATCAATTGTTTCTTCATATCTGTCACAATAATAACATAAAAATAGTAGGTAATATTCATAAAACATAAAAAATTAAAATATGTTTGAAATCTACTCGTAGACAATTTATATAAAAATGTTAATAACTTAACAATGAATTTAAAAGTTTCCAATTTAATTCAAAAATATATTAGATACAGGTTCAAATGCTGCTTTAAAATATCACTTATATAATAATAAAATAATATACATTGAAATAAATAACAAACATAACATAAACTAAAATATATCATTAAAAGGAGTCCCTTTAGGCAAGGTTCCGAAGATACTGGCAGCGTTCCCCCTTTGAATTGCTAGACTAATTCTTTGTCCGAGGTAGCTGCCAGATCTTCGGTCTCCTGTGATGTCGACTAACCTTTTTGAAATTTCTTTAAAAAGCCTTAAAGCGCTAGGACCCCACGGACCAAGGGTCTCGACACCGAATGGGACAAAATCATATTCTGAGCCTAGACCCCTGTACTTGCATGCTTTATTTTTTTCAAAGTATGTGAATAATATTGATATTAAAATTTAATTGTTATATCGAAAACAAAGCATGAATGTCTTTCATGTACTTAAAAAATTTATGTTGATAAAAGAAGTAAAATATAATCAAAAGAATTCTAAACAATGCATTACTAGTTTCATAGGTTTTGTATGCATTTTATTAAATACAAATCGAGCGGAATTAGAAAGTTTTTATATATATATATATATACTGAATTGAACGTACCTTTACATATTACAACTGAAATTCACCAACACAGCCACTTTATAAAGTTCATAAAAACTACCTATCTAATGACTTATTTACAAATTTCTATTATTTTTAACTTTAAAAGTTTGCAAACTTGACAACGGAGATACGAGCAGGACATCCGTTCGCGATGATACATTCTACAGAGTCTGAAATTGTCAGATATAAGTACAAAGCGCATGCTCCGTCTCTTCTCCATACGTTCATATGCATATTAGAAAAACAGAAATAAAGCAACATTTAAAAGCAATTGAAGAAATATTTGAAACTCTTTGTAAAATCAAAGTAATAATTAAAATCAATTTATGAGTCCTAATCTTAAATCGTTCTAATGACCGAGGAAATTCAAAATATCATTTGTATAGGATTTATGTCACGTGACATTGTGTTGGTAGCTAAGATTTATAAAATTTTAACCTCATACCAGTAAGAGCATCAATGGTAATAGACTTGGTGAGCAGTGGCCTAGTGACTTCAGCGTGCGTCTGTCATCCCTGAAGTCGTAAGTTCGAGTCCCGGCTGTGCACCAATGGACTTTCTTTATATGTGAAACGGTGAAAACATCGTGAGGAAACCCGCTTGCCTTAGACCAAAGAGTCGACGGCGTGACAGGCACAGGCGGCTGATCACCGACTTGCTTATTAGATTAACAAATGATCATGAAACAGATACAGAAATCTGAGGCCCAGACCTAAAAAGGATGTAGCGCCACTGATGTATGTATGAAATAGAAGCGTTACATTACTGTAGGAACAACAGGCAAATGGAAGGAAGGTGTCCAGTTCCTGAAGGGAGGATCGTCGGCCAGTCGAACTCGTTATTGACCGGCCCAAAGGCCCCTCTTGAGACAGCAGATAAACAATCCGCGAAAATCGAGGACACCGTGAGCCATTTCTGCCAAAACCATCCATCTTTTAGTCGATACCAACTCCGGGGATATAAATACAGATAAAGCAACTTTTTCTACAGCTGTGATACTATTTTGACATCCAACACCTTTTGTCTTCAGTCACCGTGACTACGCACGCTGTAAAGTACGCGAAACGTCGGTTAAATTTAAAATGAGATTATTTATTTATTGTTTTTTGTAATATATACTATGATTATTTATTGTTTATGATTACTTACTTCTCTCTCTAATGGCATATGACGTCCTCATACTTATTCTTTGTCCACAATTAACACTTGTATATTATTAAAATATTGCATTTAAAAAAATTCACGATTCTCGAAAAAATTACGTTGCTTTTAAACAAACAACACTGACTAATGGTGTGGAATACGTTAAATCATGTTACCAATTCCAGCCCTCTGGCATTGAGTGTCCATTTAACAATTGTAATTGAAAACCATCACAAAGTAAAAAATATTTACTTTGTGATGGAATTAACTATTAATTATTGAAAAAAATATACCCCTATTATATATAAGTTTTTACTTAAAAGGGTTTCCATATCTACACGTTGTAATGTATTGTTACAATGAATGTAATGTAATTATTTTATTTTTTATTTAAAATTACTCAGAAGTAAGAAAATTTTAAATAAAATCCATAAACATTTATACTATTTCAGTCAAATTTATAATTAATGGTAAATTCATATCATAAAGTGGATTTCGCTGTTATGTCAACATCAACTCGAGATTGGAGCACCCTCGTCCCAATATACTCGTAGGAGTTCGTATAAAAGTTTCGAAATGCACTCCAAATTCAAAATGGGAAAATGTTAGAACCTTACATCGGAAAATGTGGAACAAACAGGCTATACATTTTATATTAACTATTAATCCATAATTTGATAAACATTTTTTTATAGAACAGGCAGAATGCTCACCTGATGTTAAGTGACACTATGGACACTGTCAATGCCAGAGGGCTCGTGAGTGTGTTGCCGGCCTTATAAACTATTATATATTTTTATATACATCTTACAACAATTACACTTACTTAACTATTAAATACGTCAAATAGGAAGAAACGAAAATAGGAATAAATTAACATGCTTTCCTCGTACAAATTAAATTATGTAACGAATATTGATTCCATTACACCTGTCAATCAAACAACCTGTTTTTGAGTGCTAAATATTTTATTTAATAAGAACGATTCATAAATTAGATTTTCTTGGGTAGCGCCATGGTAACTGTTTTCACTTCCAAGTATTCATGCAGACTGTCAGATCCTCTGAGAAAAGAAAAAAATAACTTACAATATTTTAAACTGGGCAAATCTATTGAATATCTAATTATCTCCGCTGATATGACATTAAAAAATGGTGGTGCACCAGAGAGCTACAGTTAACACTAAAACAAAAATAATAATGCCGGAAAGAACGTTACTTAATTAAATGTCAAAATAATTATCAATTAAATACATAGTTTTGCTAGTTATTAATATAATAGTATACAAGTTTCATCTGGATAAAATATCTAAAAAAAAAGTGAAACTCCTTAGTTTTAAACAGTACCAATATTTCGATCGTTATAAAGTCGAAAGTCAGCAAGACTTATTATTTTTGCACGCTATTCTTAATCAGCGGATAGATAGCCACTATTTGCTCTCGTTAATTTTTCTAAGAATCCCTCCCACGTATGCGACACGATTTTCACAAATGTTCCACGTGCCTCGTACAAACACGAATTATCTGCGTTATTCGCCAGTATTTCGGATTTTAGCTGACTATAACACAAATTATGAGGGTGTTGAAATTTTCAACCTTACTAAAGAGTATATGAGAAAATATTTTTAGAAGCGGGAAGTCGTTGACTTTATTTAGCAGTAATTTCAGTTTTTTTTTAAATCTCTAATCTATTAATAAACTTATGTTTTCTGTTTCATATATTTCGTTTATCAATGTAATCTGTTTTGGCTTTGGATGTTGTCTAAGTGTTCTTTTATAATATGGATAGCTGTAAGATAACTTTAAAATAACTCTATAATATTACTTACAATTCACGCCCGATTCCAGAGTCCTTAAAACCTCCAAATGGTGCGTGAGGGCTGAGGGCAAGATAGGTGTTCACCCTGTAAGAAATACACTGCATTAGAATAATTACATTAAAGAAAAAACCATGTAGGTGCGATTCATCTCTCGAGAAACCAATTTGTGTAACGAGGCGTCAATGTGGGATGCATGTTTTTCCTGGTAATAATACACTTATTATGTAAAATATAGTAATATTCTTTAGTTATTTCCGAGATTTACAACTTACACCTTAAACATTTCGCTCAAGGCATGAAAAAGCATTTGAATGATTACTTTAATAGAAATTACACCTAACTCGCTATGTGAATAATTACTTCAATTTAAACATGCCCCAACTGTGCTGACCTGTGAAGTTTTTTCTCATTTAGCTAATTTAGAGCGGACAAGAAGAACTGGCAAGAAATTCTCACCCACTCTTTTTAATCGCCAAGTTTTGAGTCATACAAATTGTTTGAACTGGAGCAAATCAATCCTCACTGTAACTGTTTATATCGTAAGACAAACGTGGTAAATTCAAGAATTGATATAACTACATAATGTAAAATTAATCAGTGGCGCTACAACCCAAATTGGGTCTGGGCCTCAGATTTCTGTATCTTCTATGGTCATTTGTCAATGTGATAGGCAAGTAGGTGATCAGCCCTCTGTACCTGACACACGCCGTCGACTTTTTGGGTCTAAGGCATGCCGGTTTCCTGACGACGGTTTCCTTCACCGTACGAATGTTAAATGCGCACATAGAAACACAGACAAAACTGCCTTAGGCCTAAAAAAGGTTCATATAAAAGTGTTCGTACCAAACATTTCCAGATTCCACGTGCTTGCTGAACTGAAGCGCTGTGTTGACATTGCTAGTGAAGATTCCAGCGGCAAGACCATAGTTTGTATCGTTCGCGCGGTCTAGGACTTCTTCGAGTGTTTCAAATTTTAAAATGTTCTGTACGGGCCCGAAGATCTGAAATTTGTAAATGTTATAGAAAACGGTTCGCGGTTCGCTTATAGTTTTTATAAGGAAAGAAAAAGCGCTTTACACACGATGACAAGTCGCAAATTAAAGCCCCATAGAAATGTATCTAGAATAACGTCACTACATTATGAGTGTCAAGTGGATATTATTGAGAGAGAAAGGATGGTGTTGCTACTCCTCCAACCTAAAGAGGATCCTCACTACCAGTCTAACAACTGGCCCAAAGTCATATAAGCCATGTAAGTCATGGCTAAGGTCGAGATATATATCCTGACCTGTCAGAATAACAATCTCATAAAGACTTAAAAATCAGATCCAGCCGGGACCGAATTTGTTTGCCATATTGATGCCAAATTCATTTTGCAATATTCCGCTGAATTTTTACCAAAAATATTGCGTCGCTTTGGTTTTTAGTACAACTTATCTGGGCGGTTTCAAATATATTCCTTGTTGAAGTTTAACAAATTCGCTTATACGTCTAGAGAGTGAATATTAGACAGATGGAGGTGGTAATTTTCCGTAAATAATGAGATGTCGTGGCGTCACCCCGATGAGACGTTACACCTAATTAACGCTGACTTCGCGGATTTTCGATAAAATATCAATATCTTAATACATATACTATATTAAAACTACTGTTTAATAAGTGTCTATAGTTGTCCAATTCCTTTTGTAAACTTGTGAAGACCAAATCGTTGATATGGCGAATGTAATGTTTATTAGCTTATCTAACTATCACTTTTATACTCTCCCGTTTCTCTGAAATGCTGTTTACTATGATAAAAAGCTTTATTCTTTAGTTAAATTGCAAAAGGTACTGTTTTATTATGAATAAGGTGGTTAGTATACAAAGAGACCGTAATCAACAGAGCCTTACTGCTTCTAAGAATATGTTCTTGAGAAAATATGTTTTAGAAACAATTTATTACATAATTTTACGCATTATCTTCTAATAAGGGTATGTAATATTGAGTCGAGATCGTTAATTCTAGATCTCGTAGGATTAAGAATTATAATATCTCGTTTTCGAAAACTTGTATGCAACACTGGTTAGCACCAGCGTAGTAAGCGTAAACTATTATAAGCAAACTGTATAAAGCTACGCCTTGCTCTCCCACACTCATATAGATTCATCTCTATTGTTATCAGTGACTCTAATCTACTTAATCTTGCAGAAACACGTGAACTACTTTTTATGAGTAAAAACCCATGGCACTTAAACGGTTAAATCGGTTTTTAATTTCTTTCCGTACGACGTGTACTTGCTACGCAAATGGAAAATTTCGTCGCCTTTCAACTGTTCTAAGTCATCTTTATAACAACACGATTTTTTCAAATATAACAACGCTGCGGTTGCATTTATTCAGCGCTTTGAGATACACGTATACTTTAAGAATACCAACTATTCGTAATATCGTTTATCTTACGAGATCTCGTCATCTTACGCTTCGAGATTGATCTCGAAAAATTGCACGACATCTCGCGGGATTGGGATCTCACGGTATCGGGATTGCATTCCATATCTCTCATACGTTGTATAATATAATATGAATAAATAAATATACCTCTTCCCTTGCTATTGTCATTTCGTCCTTGACGTTCGCGAACACGGTCGGTTCGATGTAGTACCCACTATTACCGACTCGTTTTCCTCCTGTCACCAACGTCGCACCCTCAGCCTTGCCCTTCTCAATTAACCCCAATACTTTGTTCATCATCTCTTCGTCAACCTGAAATATTTTAAATGTTTTATTTGATGTTGTTTAGTAAACATTATTATCGTAATACTAGTGTAAGTGCACTGTTCGCGAAGCTTTCCAATTAGTACTAAAGGTTCGGATTAATGCGGAAATAATTTAAGGTTTAATTATGAGAATCAATTATCTGCGATTAACATGGCTGCACTGACACGACTGTATTTCGTTTCCAGAAACACTCGAACACTCCAGTGTATCCAGATAATTTATTGATTTACTTATATTAGAGTTTCAGTTTTAGACATTTATTGAATTAATTATTGGAAATGTTTCGGTTTTACAAAGGTCAGCTTATGCTGACAGCGGTAGATATGCTTTCCCGATAAAATTTACATTAAATTTTAAAAAAATACAAATTTTCATTAACCTGTGGACCATGTTGGGTAGATGCGTCAGCAGGGTTGCCAATCTTCAGAGATTTCGCTACAGCTGCTGCAGCTTGAACGAATTTGTCGTATATTCCTGATTGTACAAATAGACGGGATGCTGCGATACACATCTGACCTTGGTTTGAAAACACACCCATTGCTGCGTACTGAACTGCTGCTTCCACTGCAATAACATCTCTTAGTTTATAAAAATAAAAATAAAATAAAATATGTTTATTATGGAACATAAGATACATGTATCACTTATTCCACGTCATTAAATTTGAATTTGTAGGCATCCCTACTCATCGGCAAAGAAGACAGAGGGTGTAGGCCGAGAGAAAAAGCCGGCGTAAAAAACTCTCGGTACTCTTTTAAAACAGCAAATCATCAAACAACACTTATTTTAAAACAAATATCGCAAATTAATTAGAAGTAGCCTGTCTAGCACTAGTCCCAGGCCTTTTTATCAACTAGATAATCGTTGACTTTATAGTAAGTTGTTTCACCTTGCAAGTATTCAACAGCTTTTGATATTTATTTAATTAAATTCTAAACATTTTTTATGAAACATATTCTTAAGAATCTTGCTACAAGTGCGCTTGTGGAATAGTTACTTATTTGACTCGTTCGGTTGTTAATGAATTGTTACGAATTGACTCGAACAACTGCCCGAAGTGGGATGGATAGGTCGGAGTAGGGAATAAAAGAGATTGTAACACATGCGCACGGGCAATTCCTTTGTTCAAGTTTGAAGTTATAGAGTTTACCTAAAATCAGTGAAGTGTATTATAGTGAATCAAGTCATCATTGGAGTGTTTTCCTACCCTAAGAACTATATCAACTAGCCCTTTACACAGAACCAATATAATACGTGCGACTGAGCTATGGAGATCGTTCACTAGTCTATAATAAATAGGTATATAATATTTATGGCCAGCAATATCGTCTATCAAAATAATGGCCGACATTTGTAATAATAATTTAAGTTGGCCTCTCATTATCTTTGAAATTAATCACCGATCCTTGGGGATCGAAAATCGATGGAAAAACAGATAATATACGAAGGGTTATAGCATACATTTATGCTTTGAATTTCTATTCTAATATATTTCTTTATATTTCCAGTTATCTGTTCATTTCTTTCCTCAACTCCTTTCAAAGAGTTAAATCCTTTACTATCGTGAAACTTAGTTGAGGAATACTTAGCTCTGGACCTGAGATTTAGACTCGAGATTGTAGGTACATGTAGAAACATGAATTTGGGATTTTATGATATTTTATATAATATTTAGTAAGAAATATTACAGTAAAGAATATTAGATTTTTAATATTATTTACTTTTTAAATCGCCTAGTCTATTTGAAAATGGCATGGCGGTGTTGCGAACATATTAATTAATTTATATATTATGTTCACACAAAAAAAACCACGCGTGTGTGTAAATAAATGCACATCATGTGTGCAAATTATATTATTTTCCTTATTTAATTATCAAGTTGATTAAGTTGGCTTTCCAACATAACGAAAAAGGTAATTTATCCCTGCTGTGTTCTCAAAGACGGTTCTCTTCCGCACAGACTACATACTTTTGCACAGATTAGTAAAAAGTTTGCTGTGAAATTTATCATAAACAGTAGTCGCCAGAGACTTAGCGGAAGTTTGAAAAGGAAAATGTTTGTGAATGCGATTACGGGAACTTAAGCCCTCACAGACAAGTGTGTCCTTATACTTTCTCACATTTACGATTAAAACTTTATCGTATCCTTACTTATTTAAAGGTGTACATATTTCTAAAGTCTAAAACTGAAGCAATGTTTTGTTCAGATTCTCATATAACATAATTTTACTTCAATTTACAGGAGTGATTATATAATGTAACCTGGCAAACGTCGTTTTGCCATGTCTATCATTTATAATAAAAAAATAGGGGTTGATCGTAGAGGGGTGAAAATTAGGGGTTGTATGTATTTTTTTAAAAATAAAACATTATCTAAAAATTTAAAAAATAATAATTTAGGGGTGGACTACCCTTAACATTTAGGGGGATGAAAAATAAATGTTGTCCGATTCTCAGACATACCCTATATGCACACAAAATTTCATGAGAATCGGTCAAGCCATTTCAGAGGAGTTTAACTACAAACACCGCGACACGAGAATTTTATATACGTAGTCGGTCCCAAAGTTCTGTCATAAATGGAAATAATGATAAAAACAAAACTACTTATCAGTTTTTAATGAGTGATATACCAATTTATAGTACATTAATTAAGGAATAGAAATAGTTTAATAATTATTCGAAATGACCTCCCTTATTTTTAATATTGGCCCTTAAGCGCCGCGGGCAGTCGTCTATCGCAGCACGCACCATATTCGTGTCGATTTCAGTGACTGCTTTATTTAAAGATGACTTCAGACTCTCCAAATTTTTATGTGGTATGCACAGACCTTCCTCTCTAAGACCTGCGAAATTTTATAGTCCAAAGGATTAAGGTCCGGACTGGAGGAAGGCCAATCCTCATGTCTAATTAAGTCGATGTTTTGACGCTCAAACCAGGCTTAAGTGGTGTTGCGCGTGTGTGTTAGGCGCAGAGTCCTGCTGGAACACGAAGTGATGTCCCGCAATAGCGTGCTGGGCAGTTCTTTGACAAGCCGATGCAAAACCGTATCTTGGTACACTTTTGCACTGGTTTTGACCCCCTTTATGCAAAAATGAACTTCAGTTGGCTCGTAATAGGACACTCCCAACCAGACCATTACTGATGATGGATGATGTCCATGTTGCACCCTTGGAACTTTATTTCCAGCTTCTTCAGAACTTCTGGCGTACACTCTATCATTCTGTTTATTGTACTTCTCTTCAATATCGAAATATTTTTCATCCGTAAAGAAGATATCACGGTGTCGGTTTTTCGCGTACCGCTTTAACAACACCCGCGATCTCTTAAGCCTTATTGCTTTTAGACGAGCATTAAGTAAGTGCCCACTCTTTTTTTTGTATGCTCGTAGACCAAGATCTTCATTTAAAACCTTTTTTACTGTTTTCCTACTGACACCCATCTGCAAATCCATCAACTTCTGTTTTCGGACAGAATTTCTTGCTATCTGCGCCATGATAGCTTTGATTACTGCTGGTGTTCTTGCGGAGCACGGCCAGCCAGTTATTTTATTGTCCTCAACACTGGAGACTTCATTGTACCTATCAATAGTACGGTACACAAACCTAAGCGTTATATTCAAATTTTTGAGCCCCTTGAAAATGGTACTCGGCGAGTGCCCACAGCGGTGCAACGCATTAACACCAATTCGGTTTTCTTTCAATGTCCACTCCATCGTGAAAAATTACGGAAAGTGATTGTTTTTTGTTTTAAAATAATAGTCAAACATTCAAAAATATAATATTATATTTATTTTATAAAATCATGTTCGAAATTTAAAAATAATGTGACAGTGACAGAACTTTGGGACCAACTACGTATATACTTTTTACACCCTATACAAAATAAATAGCAGTTTTATCACAGGGTGACTATTAATCTTTGATAAAACATTTGAGTCTAGGTACAAACATGGACTACCTACGTGTGTGATTTTTTTCCTACAATCAAGTTCACAAAAGAGAGTGCGACTTTACATGAATTACAATCTAGCCTATACCATAACTATGACCATAAAAGATAATTTAAGACTAGCTGGTGCCCGCGACTTCGTCTGCGCAGGATTAGTATTTCAAGTAGCTTATATTAGCGTGGCTTGGAAAAAAAGTACTGAAGATATATTATATACTATTTAAGATAAACATTTCCAACTTAGATTACATATGTGTAACTGTAGCGGTTTTGGCAGCGCACGCCAGTATAACTGGCAGGTGGTATTTTTTTCCTACTTACTTGATATTCTTATATATCGTTATAAATTGTAGCCTATGTGTTATTCTGATGTATAAGCTTTATTATTGTAAAGTTTCATTACAATCCAATCAGTAGTTTTTACGTGAAAGAGTAACAAACATCCAAATATTTACAGATAAAATGCTCAAGTACCTATAAGGAATTCTGGAAGTATATAAAATCTTTTGTTTATACGTGTATTTCACATTGAAATAAAACTTATACAACCCAGAATACATTATTTAGAGTTTAGACAAATGCCTATCTTTATATCTATCTATATCCTATCTCATATAATATATATATTATGTATCTTTATTTGAAAAATTAGTTTGAATAATTTATTTGAGCATATTTATATGGTAAGAATTGTTTAATTATTAATAAAGGTTTACTTACAATTAGCATCGTCCATGATGACCAATGGGCTCTTTCCTCCCAATTCAAGGGTCACACGCTTCAAGTTATTGGTACCAGCTGCTTTTTGGATCAACTTTCCGACCTACAATATAAGTTTTTTTATAGATTTACATGTACCTATGTCTATGAATAAAAGTGAGAAACTGCGCGTTCAACTGTGACCAAAGAACTGGCCGAACAGTTCGGTGCTGTGACAGAATTGTCAATGTGACTAAGCTGAATAGCACAAGAGGAAACGCGAGTCCCTCCAGTCAGAAGGCTCCGACTCACCCATGGATCGGATATTTCCGGAGCAGTCGTCGCCCGAACCCAGCGGGAGACAACAAGTCGAATCTAGCTTAAGTTAATAAAGTCCCTTTCTCGGAAAAGGGAGAAAATAAAAACTAATAAAAATTGTGTCAGGCTCTTCTTTGTGTGTTTAACAAAATGTACAAGTGTTATAGTTCTGCGTAGTTAATTCTGTTTGAATGATGATGATATTAATTTATCCCTAATGGGAAAAGCAAAGGACTTTAGTCCATACAGCCAGGTCTTGTTCTTGGAAATAATTGGAGGATTTTGGTAGTTTTAAAGGCCGAAGCCACGTCTTCATTTTTCTTGATCGTAAGGCCGAAGCCATGTCATGTCTTATTATTCTCGGTCATAGGGCCTAAGCCACTTCATCGATGGTTCGAATTGGTCGAACTCAAATCCAAAAGCACTAATAGTAGAATCCAAATAAAAATTATTTATATTTCCAGGTGCTTGTTTCAAATCCGATGCTAAGGTAAATCCAAAAGTATGTCCGTTCAATCCAATTAGTCAATCCGGGGAGTACAATCCTTTTAAATGTCTTGAACCGCATTAGAAATAAATTCATAAATGATATCATGCATTTTTCATGGTTAATAATTGTAATTTCATAATTACCTCTAAGGAACCAGTGAAGGAAACTTTCGCGACATCCACGTGGTGCGTTAGGGCCACTCCAGCGGTTTCACCAAAGCCTGGCACCACGTTCAACACACCTGCTGGTAACCCAGCCTCTTTAAGCAGTGCCGTTAGTGCCAATGCCGTTAATGGGGTCTGCTCTGCCGGTTTTACAACTGCTGTGCATCCTATAAAAAACATTGTATTCGATAAAAGACAGCAAGACTGGGAGAAAATCTTGGTTCAAAAATATAACAGCGTGTTTATTTAATTCTGCACACATATAATTCACTGAAATGTCAAGATGCCTTGGAAGTTATGATGCGATATGGGGTTATTAACGATTAACCCTTTTATCTTTAATCGCCATTACTGGTGCTTTGCTAGGAACTTTATTAAAGTTACATATTAATGTTGTATGTATAGTAATGTACAGTAATTGTAATTACATTTTCATATGAGACTCATTCTTTGAATTACTAGTCATGTGGTAACGATTTAAGCATATATTCTACGGTTCCTTGAATCAGTGGTTACCTAAGTGGGATAATTTCAAAGCTAAGTTGCACCTACAGATAAAGAAGTGAAAATGGGCGGATCGTGAACTTGTGGGGCTCTGGGCTATTACGGGGTAGTAACCCGTAAAAGAACACGCGAAAAAGTACACCGACCGAAAACAAGCGACGGGAAATTCCCCGTTTAGTTCGATAGACGCGCATCGCACATGGGTACTCAGAGATTTCAACATAAGGATTTTTATTATACAAGTAAGATTTGGATTTTTTTTTAAATTTCAGATATTTTTTTAAATTCAAAATATCGCTTATTATTTTCAGTTGGGACTGCGTTTTATCCACGGGGCCTTGGGCTGCAGCCCAAAATGCCTTTAAGTAGATCCGCCCCTGATTATTATAGTTATAGTATTAATCTCCAAAATATATCATGCATTTTCTATGGTTACAATCTATATATTGTTAAATACATGACAATTACGGTGAAAATAAATTTGACAAAAATAAATACAGTAAAATGCACATCCAGTCTTAGTTTCTACTAATAAATCTTTTTTTTTAAATACTTATTCGCTTAACAATGCGGATTAGGTAACAGAAAGGCCCCTTAGTAACGGTATTTTTTTTTAATTTGGTCTGCCCTCTACCAAATTTATCAAGCTCTGGATAAGTTTTTAATCTACCATTAGACATACATTTAGTAAAGTGCGCGTTTATGTTTTCCTAATTCGAATAATTTATTTTGGTAATTTTTATTTAAAAATTTTTTTGAGCCTGGTATTTTAATTGATTTATCGCAATAGGTTTTTAAGCCTCTAAGATATGATAGCAAAACTTATACCTGCTGCTAGTGCTGTGACAACTTTATTAATAAACATCAAAATTGGGACGTTCCAAGGTAGAATCAATCCACAAACTCCAACTGGTTGCTTCAGTGTGTATGAGAATAAATCTCCATCTAAAATAAATATTTTAAACATCTTATAAATATCATTACTGCTAGCACCAAATTAGACATAGACATAACATTTCTTTCTAACGAAACACACACAGAAACACACAAAATAATAATTAAAATAAGAAAGATAAAGAACAATTTTTTTTTTAAGGAACAAGGTTCCTTTTAACTGGTTCTAACTGGCACTGGCTCAGCATTATGCTGTGGAGCAGACGTGTTCCACCACAATAGTCAGTTTTCGCCTCAGACGCAAAAAAATAAAAACAATGTAATTAATAATAATATTAGGAAATAATAATAATAGTAAAAATTAACAGTAAAGTAGTCTAAATTAAATATAAATACGTGCTAAATAAATATAAAAAATCCGAAAAAGGGAAAATATTTTAAGACTCATTCATACATATACACACCTAGAATCAAATGTACTGGTTTAGTTATTTTTATTTGTGTTCTTTTTCAAACTTACAACCAACATAAATTTTGTCAAACTCTGTCATAGAAAAGGCTCGACACATTTGTTGAGTATAGAAATCCATGTTTTAACATAAACTTATCAAACACGCATCAAACTCAAAATATCTTTATTCATATAGTTAAACAAGTACACTTATGAACGTCAAAAAAGAAGTTAAATTAATTGTAAATTTACATTTACTACCAGTTCGCAAGTCAAGGGCGTAGAGCGGGCAAGAAACTTACCGCCACTCTTTTTAATCGCTAAGTTTTGAGTCATACAAATGGTTTGAACTGGAGCAAATCAATCCCAAGGATTAGGATCATTTAAATATTCGTCAAATTTATAAAAAGCTTCATTCATCCATCACACACTTCGGAACTAACGTTTATCACAATAAATATTACCCATAGGAATTGTCGATCCTTCAACTTTGTCCGCCAAACTTGCAAGGTATCTTATTTGGTTTGGCACATTAGTCAACATTCTGTGGCTGAAGGCACATACCATGCCATTGTCGTAGCCTTCGAGCTGAGCCAGGTACTTGGCATCCCTTTCCACAAGATCGGCAAACTTGCTTAGGAGCCTTCCACGTTGAGATGCATCTAAAAGACGCCATTCGGAGTTACGGTGGAACGCGGCTTTTGCTGCACTCACGGCTAAATCAATGTCCGCCTGGAAAGATAAATATTTTTTATAATACTGTAAATAAATAAAATATCGACAGCTTGATTATACCCTGCACGGTGTACATTCGGTGTTTCAAGCCCTATTTTTTTATTATCATTCAAAGTCAAAACCATTTATTCATATAGGTAACACAACGTACACTTATGAACGTCAAAAAGAAATAAATATTAAATGCTTCTAATTTTACATTTACTGCCACTTCTCAAGAAGAATTGGCAATAAACTCTCCGTCACTCTTTTTAATCGCCATTTTTTTTGTTTTACACAATCTTTGTAAAGGTGCGCTTACACGGGCAACTAAAATTGCTCAATTCCAGTCAATACTCGTCAACTATGACGTCACGACTACATCAAGCAATTTACGGCAACGGCAACAAGCATCAATACTGCGCAATACAATATTGAGCGATATGGCGCAACTTCATCAACTAGGCAATACTGTCCTACACGAGCATTTCAGTATTCGCTCGCTATGGACGATATTGTTCTTGCTGCGGCGGCTTGTAGCGCTTTTTTATTATTATCAAAACCAAAAAAAGAACGAAAAGGAATAGGCGTATCTGGGTGCGATCGTTTTTTGCAAAGAGGCCGCAATTTTCATTGTGTAAAGAATTAAATGATATATTATTCAAGAACTTTACTAGAATGTCACGAACAGACTTCGCTCTCCCCGCGGAAGCAAGACGGCATGCCGCAAAACAAACAAGTGCGAATGAGATATATACAAAAATTGCTAGGAATTTCCAAGTCCATTGGATATTCGTCAATTCGTATCTGCGACATTGAGCGATACGAAATATCTGGAGCAATTTTAAGCAATATCGCCGAAGTAATTTATTGAAATTTATTGAATTTACTGAAATTGCTCCATTAATTGCTCCACATCGGTCCATTCGTGTCGCCGAGAAATTATTGCCCTCGTGTAAGCGCACCTTAAGGAGCTGCAGCCAGGAGGAGCAAATATTATTAATGTTAGCCTATAAATTTTTACATTTCTTAGAGTTTATATACTCCGTGGTTTATAGAAATTTCAATATATTACTACTATATAATCACCTATTTATTAACAATTAATATACATAAGTGAAAACACCGTGTGGACATTCCTAATATCGCACGCGATGTAAGAAAGTTTAATGAAGTAATAACGTACAGCTGGAACACATCTATTTTCAATATAACTTGTATAGTTCTATTTAGTTTAAAATTAATAATGTAAGTCACACCTCTATTTCGCCATTGAGAGACGTATTTTTTATTTTAGATTTTTTTATTAATACATTAAATCTGTCCATGCTGCTTGGATCAAGTTACTAGTGGCGGCCGCTCTACCTTCCCTTCATGCCCATATTATAATAATTTTGAAGATTTACGTTTTTACATGGCAAAAATATGCGTATGTGATCACTAGCAACTTTTAGCCCCTTGTCCCATAGCGTGGGGTACGATGCTCTAAAATCTAATTGAAAACCGCAGTCACCATCATTATTTATGAGTTCCTCGGATCGCAATAATAAATAATGATAAACAGTTTAGACGCCCATCATAGCTTGTAAAACTGACAATTAAATTCTCCGTCAAATTCATGGTAGCTACGGTGTTAACTAAAAGTTATTTTATAATAATTAATCAATAGAATTCAAGGCACTGACGACATTTTAGTAACACATGTTATACAGATACTTTGGCTTTACATCTTAAAAAAGTTCAAGAATATGTAACAGATTTTCGTAACACATACAGATATACATACATAGTTTCCACATATAACCAATAATCCAAGTTGCCTCATGATAATTCATTCATTTTAAATCAGTCGCTCGTTAATATTCATTACGTCACTGACGCATAGGATGAAACACTTTGTATCTGCCAAATATCCGTGCTTTATACATAAACTCTTGAAAAAATTAGCCCATCTTCTTATACAACTACGACGGCATATATTAGGCCCAATTGATAATCTTATATATAGTTACGTAATTGTGTAGAAGAGGAAGCGGCCTGCCAAGAAATTGTGTCCAAAAGTAAGTCACAGTCTGATTCTTTGTGATTAACATAATACCAGCTATAACTTTAAAAATAAACTGTCCATATTACCTTATCACCTTCAGCGATGTGAGCTATAACGCTGCCATCATGAGGACTGTATGTGGGAAACGTTTTTCCACTCTGAGAGTCCACCCACTCATTGTTGATGAAGATCTGTAAATATACAATGCAATATTCATACTTGTAAAACCAGAATTCATGTTTAATTTTATCGATTATTTTATGGATTGTCAAATTGTCAGGAGACTCGCAAGTGTGTTGCCGGCCATTTGAATTGTTGGTCTAGACTCTACAGATACTGCGATGCGTTTTATAAAATTTATTATAAATTCTTAGTGACTTTGATTTATGAAAAATAGTTTTGAATATTTATATTAAGTCGCTATATCCATTGATAAGAACCGCGTATAGCATAAAATCTGTTATGATGTGAAGCAAAATTATTTATACTGTATATAATATTGCTGATACGATACTATATGTATGATATGGGTAACTTGAATAAATAAATAAATAAAGATACTTGCTGCTATGAAAAGATCGATGTTATCTACGTTCTCTATCAGTTAAGATAGTATCTGCGGCTGGCATTAATATATGCTTCGTCATCGTGATTGGAATTTTATTCCTTACATAATCTATTTATATTATACGTGAAAAAAATTATCTATTAGATTTGGACATAATAAACAAAATATTTTGCCGTGATATATAAGAATATAATTATAGTAAAACTAGAGGAACCGACACACGTCTTACATACAAAAAAACGACGGGTTGCACTCCAGCCTTGCGATTCTGTAACTCACTTTTCGAACTCACACAGCGGTTTTCGAAAAGGTGGGAGCTTGTAGTTTGTTGTTTATCAGAATGCCAAATCATGAAATGACTGCTTCACGACTGATTTGAGAGCGACCGCCGATGCGAAAACCGCTGTGTGAGTTCGAAAAGTGAGTTACAGAATCGCAGGGCAGGAGTGCCGGCTGAAGTGAAAACTAGAATATTAACGTGGTGCATTTTTGATATTTTGGAATGGTTAGGGAATCATTTTGCACGAATCAGTATAAAAGTACTATCATTTAGGTGGTAGAATATAATATTTATTTATTGCGCTATCGTACACAAACATGACAATTTATATTACATTAAATACGCCCAGCTGTCTACTCTCCATCCGTCTTACGAATTTTCAATCAGGTCACGTCCTGACGCGAGTTTAACATTTTTACCCATTCCAAAAAAGTGTACAACGCCGCTAAAGAAGTTTTCACTTCAAAAATATCTAGTAATGTAAATCATTCTCGACTCCACTTGAACACAACAAAATTCATCAGCTGTTTAGGAGTTTAATTACAAACACAAGCACAGAAGATTTATATATATATATATATATATATAACAACTGTTAAATTGCTGTATAGATAAATAACCTAGTCACCGACTGCAGCGCCATATACCGTGCTGCAGTATTTACGTCGTACGCAGATTTCTGAATCTAAACCATCCAGGACGCCACCAAATGCATACAAGAATATGGTCCAGCCGGCCGGCGACATCGATTTACGGCTCTGGTAAAACGCCATTTTATATTTGTCTAGAATCATATTTTCGGAAGCAAAGATTATATTTAATATTTTAGGTTAATTGTAAATATTCAATCGCCTATAAAAACCTATTCGTTTAGTTTATCACAAGCTATATTTATTTCTACACTACATGAAAAAACTCAAAGTAAACCTAATACCGGGTATTTTTGTATTCTTACAAGAGTTAGCGTTAATACCTATACATTTCATGGTTACTATAGCAACAAAGGATATTTTGTGGTCCACATTTTATAACAAGAAACACAAACTCGCAGGTAAAACGGCTGGAAGTGAACTCCAATACGCTAAAGTCAAATTAATTCAATAAAAAATACTCATAAAACATAGTATATTTCGCTATCTTCAATGTTGTTTTAATTAATAATATAACGTTTATTATTATAATTAATACTTATTAATCAATACCTAATTAAAGTCTTTATTTATATTTTGATATATTTTATAAATATTATCATTATTCTTAGTCTTATTATCAGGCTCACTGAATATCACTACAAGTAAGTCAGTGTACGTAGATCTGTTTTATGTCCTTCCATAATTCATTATTTTTATTAGAATTATTTAATATAACCAGTTCTTTACTATAATATAATACTTAACGTTTTTACTCATTACATGTAATTGTAAATTATCTTTATGAATATATTTGCGATAAGATATAAATAACAATTTATTATCTTTTTATTTATGTAATCCAAAAAACTGAAATCCTACGCCAGGTTTTTGTACCTGGTAATTCCAAGGTTGTGGCAGTACGGATACTAAGATCTACATCGAAATATTGGGATTTTGTAAGAAGTTCAAGTGATTCTGGATACAGGTTCTCGATTCTGTCTCACAGGAGCCGCACTTTGGCATGTCGTAGGAAACCTTTAATTACCTGAGGTGTACTCATAAAGCCCAATACTTCGAAAGTTACCAAGGCCCCTCAGTTTACAGCTAATTAGTTATTTCTGAAATACCTATATGAAGAATTTTCATATTCATGTTTCATATTCTTTTGAACGATTCCAGATCCTAACTTGCCATATTAAAAATATAAATTACAGATACAATACTCAACATATTTATTAAATTAAAAGTTTTGAGTTTTAATGCCTATCAACAATATTAATAGGATAAATGTCAAATCTAAAATTCATATAAGATGTCGTCAACTGTCACCTAATAAATCCCGTATAGCTTTAATTCCAATTTTGACAGACTAAACCTAAGCCAAAACTAATAATGTCTTGTCTTGTAATGTACAGCCTTGACTCGTACATATTGTATATTATAATGCTCATAAAAGCTAATTAAGAGTAATGATTATCGTTACTAAAAACATACAAATTTCACCCCTACAGACATACTGAACAAGGAATGAACAATGCTCACAAATTGTCATAATAATGAAAAGGTATCTTACATGGTATGTATTATAAAATAATTTTGTTTATAATTAACATTTAACACTTGCCTCTTAGGAAAAACAAATGTTCACGATTTAAAATTATATAGGTACTCTTTCATATGAAAACTTGAACTTATTTATAAAGATATTGTGTGCATTGTCTAAAATATCATGTAAGTGGGAAACAATCTACCATATTATGCTATTCTGGCGTGCGATGCAAAAACCGCTAGAGTTACGCATATGTAATGTATGATGGAAATGCTTATCTTAAATAGTCAATATCTTCGGTAGTTTTTATCTACGCCACGCTAATAGAAGCTACTCGAAATATTAATCCTGCGCAGACGAAGTCGCGAGCACCAGCTAGTTATTTATAAAGCTTTTATTTTGCACAAGTTTCCGTTTCTTACTCACAATCAATCAAAATAAACTTAAGTCCCTTTGACGATTCCGAGAAAGGCCTAATCTAGACCTTTATATTATGTGCCTACCCAAAATGCATTAAAATGTCAAAAAGATAAAATTCAATAAAGATAATTTTAATAATTATAATTAACTAGCTGGCCTGGCGAACATCGTACCGCCTAACAGTCGATTCTTTATTTTTTTTAAATACTTATTCTGCTATTCGGGACACCGGTCTAACTAGTAAGATAAAAAAAAGAAAGTTGATAAGATAACAAATACATTATGTCAAAAAATAAAAATTTACCTTCCCGGAACCCCTCCACTACCACTTGAACTTTATGATATCGTATTAAAGTTCAAATTGACTTTTAAGTATTATTACGAATATTTTGTATGGGAATATAGAAATGAGTTGTTTTTAGACTTTTTCACTCAATTTTTTTTTAAATTTTTCTCTCCGTAAGAACCATCCTCGTACTTCAAGGAATATTATAAAAAAAAATCAGACAAATCAGTCAAGCCGTTTTCATGTTATGTCGTAACAACGGAAAACGGGTTTCATTTTTATATACATACAAGATGAACCGGTGAACTTCGTGTCACCTAAATATATTTGTAGACCAAAGATATCGGACCTCATCCTGCAGCTATGAAACATAAATTGAACTGAGTGCATCTGTAAACGTATGACAACCGATTGTACATTTTTTATTTCTAAAAAGACAAAAGTCATCAAATATTTCCCAGCTACCTAGTTAATAGGAAACATCAATTGTCGTGTTAAGTATTTTCCTATACTTATTATTTGTTTCCTACCGTTTAAACCTTCCCTAAACTTCCACTAATATTTTCTTAGCCTTATTGGCCTAGCCATTCTCGAGTTTTAGCGAGACAAACGAACAGCAATTCATTTTTTTATATATGATTATTTAAAATTTGACACTGCGATGGTAGCGCCGTCTGTCGGATCCAATGTAAAACATTCCAAAATCAACAACTACTAATAAATTAAAAATTAATTAAAAAAACATTGTCCAGCGGACAAAATTGTGAATCTAAACCATTCCCAGATCCCCTTGAACACACACAAAAAATTTCATCAAAATCGGTCCAGTCGTTTGAGAGAAGTTCAGTGACATACACACTCACAGAAGAATTATATATATAAAGATATAGATAAACGGTACCGTTTATGTAGTATATGTTTCTAGCAACGGTGAATGGTCCGAAACACACAAACATATAATAAATTTAAGTTATATGCCACAATTAAAATATAAAAAGTCAACATAGTTATATATTATAACTAATTACAAGAATAAATATATAAAACGACTAAGTAAAAAACATTACAGAAAATTACTAATTATCATAAGCTGATTAAGCGAATGGCGGGAAGCATATCGGCCTTCAGAACACTTAAATAAATACATGCGTGAAATGTATTTATTTAAGTAATAAAGTAAAAAATTATTTATTAAATACTACGGCTGAGAATTTTTTAAATGAGTCGAATATAATTTCGACTCTTTTAAAAATTACTAAGAAGTGTCCAATCATCGGTTTTGCACATCAAAGCAAGATACAACAGTACCTACTTAAATATTCATATAATAATAGTTGTTTATGAACATTTCATTTTCATTCACATTCATTATTCATATTTTGTTAAACAGGTTACTAATACTTCTAACTACTGCTAAAGTTACAAACCAGTTTTAATATCTCACTGTGATGCGTAACTCTCAACAACCTTTCTAATCTGTGCCTCAGATTTTTGAATCTGTTTCATGATCATTTTTAAATCGAATAGGCAAGTAGGTGATCTGCCTGTGCCTGACACACGCCGTCGACTTCGCAGGTCTAAAGCAAGCCGGTTCCCAATCGTTGTTTTCCTTCACCGTTCGAGCGAATGTTAAATGCGCACATAGAAAGAACGTCCCAATGGACGTGCACCAATGTGCACAGCCGGGGATTATATAAACTTAAATTAACAGATATTTCGTTATTGTTCTCATGGATCCACCAGACAAAGCCCTTGTGAAGGTTTTCCTAAGTCATTAATGTTTAGTCTCAATTAACCTAGGAAACAAAACAACCTAAATATTAATGGATAATTGACATGCTTTTAGAGGGCCAAGATTCCAATCCCCGTGGAATATATAGAATTAGACGTCACTGAAGTTTACAAAGTCTTTTTCTCGTTCATCCCCTAAAGACTAGACTATAGAGAATTAAACTATAGAAAACTAGCAACATTCGTGTACATTAATCGTACCTTAAATTAAGTAATTGATTGAATTAACACGGGAAATTTTCTGAATTAAGAGCTAATACGTGCCTGCTAATACACTGAAAATGTTTAGAACTGGCCATTTAGAAACATTGCTAAAGAAAACTTTTTTGAATTTCAATTTAAGAATTCTTTGGTAATCTTATGTAGTATATTGCATTCATTTGTCATTCGTTTTTGTGAATTGGCGGCAAATCTTAAACTCTTGATACACGTGAAAATTAACCTAACGCGACAAAAAATTCGGTCACTGATTTATTATGACTTTCGTTGTGGGCTTACTTAACAACAAAGCTATGATAGGCTGCGATATAGCATTTCTTAATGAAGCCTCATCTCGTGCCACTATTTACAATTGGTTTAACGAGTTTAAGCGTGGACGTGGACGTGGCAATCTCAATGACGATCTGCATGAGGGACGTCCTTTTACAGCGACTACTGAAGATAAAATCAGTGCTGTTTCACGCATGATAGAGGACGATAAGAGAGAGTGACCTATCAGCAGATACGGGGATGCGTCAAGTTCAAAAAATATTTCATGAACATTTAGGCGTCAGGAAGCTTTGTACCAGATGGATTCCCCATACTTTAACCAATGACCAGAAACACCTTCGCATGGCCTAATGTCGCCAAATTTTAGATAAGTTCAACGGCTGTGACTCAAATGCTGTATTTGACATCGTCACAGGTGAGGAAAGCTGGATATATTGCTACGAACCCGAAACCAAACGACAATCAGCTGAGTGGGTGCTTCCTTTCGAGGATCGGCCAACTAAGGTATAGAAAGGAAGAAGTCAAGGAAAAACGACGATTGCCGCTTTCTTTGGTCGGAAAGGTAATTTGTGCTAGAAGATGGAAGGACAGATGAGTCATCCGCCATACAGTCCTGACCTGGCACTCTGCGACTTTCACTTATTTCCAAGAACTAAAGATAAATTTCGAGGTATTCGCTTTACGAGCCCTGAAGATGCGGTGAAAGCGTACGAACTGGCGTAGAAGGAACGGAGGTTACTTGGAATAACAATAAAAGTATTGGCAACTTTCTACATTAAGCCGTTTTTCATTTTCTAAACATTTTCAGTGTTACCTACGTAATCTTCTTATTTTAAACATAAAAATTTATCTGTTGTATATTTCATTTAATCAAAGATATAGGGTCAGAGTCACGTAAAATTTTATTTTAAAATTGATATTCAATGAGGTATTTGACGCATTTAAAAAGCATTGTTGTTTTGGCATCCGGAGCTGTAGGACCGCTAGCAAAAGTAAAAAAAATGTTTTTGTATGGATGCCTTGCCATTGTGAGGGAATGGTTCAAATTTAGAGATTAAACGCGAACTATGAAAATCTAATTAGTTTTTTTTTCGTCGATATTCCAGCGGCCGGATGGGATGCTACTTGTTTGCCCCGTCTCTTCTCCCTCGGACAAGCACAGAAGCAAAAAAACTTTGAATTAGTTCCCTTTGGAGAAGAGACTCTTCGGCCGTAGGGTTCAAGTGCACAGGCGCTAATTAAAGATTTATGTTGGCGCCTGGTATAATACCGGTGACCCCAAAGGTGGTGCTTTCCTCGATCAACGAATAAGTATCGCAATACACCGAGGAAATGCTGCCAGCGTTAAAGGTACACTACCACAGGGGCCCAACTTTATAAATTTGTTTTAATATTCTATTTATCAATTTTTAATTATTATAAATATGTAGGTTAAGGATATTGTAAATACTGTATATATCTGTTGGAAAGAAATATCTGTCATACGGCAATCATGCTTAGCACTGTCTCTACTTCGATCAGACCA